CTGGCTGCTGCGTGGCAGTGGCTTGCAGCGCTTGCTTGGCTTGGGAGCACCTGTGTGTGTGTGCACATGGCTGGTGGGGCAGCAGCACCCCAAGCTGAAAAGTGCAGGCAGGAGAATGAGGTTCAGTCCCTTTTCAAGGAGCTTGTCTCTGCCTCAGTTTCCCCTCCGCCAGCAGGGAAATTGTTGTCACATATCCCTGGGGCAGGGTCCAACCTGCAACCAGGCATAGGGATTGAGAGCTCCCACCCTCATGTGCTGCCCCAGGATCTCCCTTGTGAATGACACCAAGCAAGCCCTATGCCATCAGCCAGCCATGCTGTGCTCCCGGTGGCTAGGAAGACACCCTGGCTCGGTGAGGGTCCAAAATCCCCTATCTCCCTCTTGCTCCCAGGTATTGGCACCTCAGCCTCGGACTGCTGCCTAAAGAACAGCGAGAAAGCCATCCCCAGCAAATGGGTGAAGTCCTACAGCCTCCAGGGACGTGAGTCGGGATGTACACTGCATGCCGTTGTGTGAGTACCCCACTGTAGTTAGGATAATCCGGAGCAATTTGGTTCCAGCCAAACCCTCCCCCTCTGTGTCCTTCCCCTGCTCACCTCCCAGCAAACCTTTCTGCCTGCACCCCCAGCTTTACCACCAAGAAGAACAGGAAAATTTGTGCCTCTCCCACCGACCCTGCTGTCCAGAAGCTAATGCAGAACCTGGACAAGAAGATGAAAAATGACAAGAAGGACAAGAAGGACAAGAAGAAGGGACAGTCCTCGCGTCCCAGGGGCAGACCCAAGCGGCAGAAGTGGCAGCAGGTCTAACTAAGTCAGGCCTGAAGAGGTAGGCAGAGGGGAGTGGGGGGTGGCAGGGTGATGGGGTGAGGGTGCTGCCCCCATCCTGGATCCTTCTCCATGGGAGGGTGGGCATCAGGCTCCTGGGACCAAGCCTGGGAGAGCTACCACAGCCATGGCTGGAGCATGGAGGTGCTTGGGGCACAGCTCCCTCCTTCTCTGTGCTTGCCTTAAAATTCTGGAGCTGCTGGGACAAGGCAAAGCTTGGGGGCAGGCAAGGCACATCATGCAAGGCGACAGCCACTTGTCTGGGATGGGTGCTCTCACTGAGACCTTCTCCACGTCACTACGTCCTCCTTGCCTTCCTTAGGACGGATGCCTTCCGCACCGATGACCGACCCACCGCCTGGCAATGGACATTCACAGACCACCCACCCACCCGCTGGCCCCAGGGCGAGGACTGGGCTGGCTGAGGGGGCTGCTCTCTGCTCTGCAGCCCCCTCCTCGCTGCTGTGCCTGCCACAGAGATCCCTCCAGCTGGGACCCCCTGCACCAGCTGGGTGTTCTCGGTGGCGGGGGGCACCCAGGTCTTCACTCACCCTCTGGTCACGCCAGCGGGGACCTGGACCCATGTGGGAGCTGAGCCACGGCCCCGAGGGGGAAGTGGGCAGCCTTTCCACCAAAGGGGATTTCTGTAGCCTTGCAGGATGGCAGCTTTTCCTATGACTTTTTTGGGGGTTTTATACATTTGTATTTATGTTTAAAGACTGTGCTTTCATTCAGTCTTCCTGGCTCCTTGTGCTTCACAGAGTACCCTTTATGCTGCAGGCTGGCTTTTCTGGAAGATTGCTCTTATTTTTCTACCAAGTAAACGATGGCTGCATTTAATTTCCCTCTCACCTGTTTGCTCCTTTTCAGCTTGCAGGGCTGTGGGGTGCCAGGCAGGTCCCATGTCCCCATGGTCCTGCCTGGGCTGCTTGCTGGGCGCTTCCTTGCAGGGTAATTGATAGAGACTGAGATGGGGAGTTTGGGGACAGCTGGGGTGACAGTGTGGCTGCACATCTGGGCTGTTCTAGGTTTTCCCTTCTGCTCTTGTAACATGCTGTTGCAGTTTGGAGGAAGATTGTCAGGATTTGTACTTTTCATTTTTTAAGTCCTCTTTTTTTTTAGGTACAAAATTATGGTGAAATCAGAACAAATTGGTTTTGCTGCTGTCAGAGATTCAGACATTATCAAGTTAAACGCTTGGTTTTCTGAAAAAAAAACCCCACTCTCTTATGCTTTCTTCCCAAGTCTGAGAAGCTCATGCGATGAAAACCGCATGTGAGGCAGTGCAGGTGGAGGAAGAGAAGACTTTGCAAAATCCATTGCAGACATGCCGCAGCTGTTTGAGCAGCTCTACCCCAAACCTTTAGTAAAAGGACACTAACCGAGGGACACCATAAGGTGAGACTGCAAGCAGAGAGCTGACAGACCTCCAAGACTGGGTTGGTGAGGAAATGCCATCTCCCTGTGCTCGCAAACCCCCTCCAGCACAATGAGAGGGAGTAATTTGAAGGGCTTTGCCGCGGCTGCAGTGCTTTCTGCTTGCAGAGACTTCAGACGTGGACTTTGGTCAGTAAAAGTCTATTAAATCATATAATTTCAATAATAGGGTTTGCAGGGCTTAACAGTATCAGCAAAGGCCGTGTGTTGGCTGGTGTAAAGCTTGTAGCTGAGTGTTTCTAATGAGCACATTTATCTGGCTTGATTGCTTTATTAGGAGGGCGTTTAGGTCGATTACTTTAAGGCTGTGTAAAGAAACTGTGAAGTCCAAGATACCAGTCCCGCGCATGGGACGGATGCTGAGCTGGCTCTGTGCTGCCCTCTCCTCCATGTGGGAGGACGTGGCCGTCTGCCAGACCAGCTTTTGGACAGGATGTGAGGCAATAAAATATATCCTTTACAACCAAACTCACTCGTTCTGGCTGTTTTGATGGGCTTCGGCGGGGCGGGGAGGGCTGCCTGGGGGACTACGCTCCTGCCCCACACACCTTTATTCCCCAGGTCCTGGCTTTTGCAGCTCCTCTGGCGCTGCATCCCTGGAGTGCAGGGGCTGGGATCTGCTGGCACAGGAGAGGGGGATCGCGTGAGTTCCCTTTCCTGTAGCCGTGTTGCCCAGCAAGATGAAGCTGTCCTGTTTGCTCAGCCGTCCCCACTGAGGTCCCGGAATACCAGCAAATTCGGGGGCACAAAATGGCTTTGTACGCGGTGTCTTTTGCCCATGGCCGAGACTGTCCCTCCAACTCTGATGCTCCCTGGACAAGCTCCACTTGCGCAAAGCAGGGACTCTGTGCTCCTGGCTGCTTTGGGAAAATAGCACTAAATCAAATTATTAATGAGGCTGGGCTCTGGCCTGGGCTTTGTTGGGAGCCTGGGAACTGACACTGGGAGTCAGCCAGGGCTGCTGTGGGAGGGCTGGGGGCAGCCCTGGGTTTGCTGGGGATGCTCCGTGTCCAGCGCTGCGAGGTTGGCCCTGCCTTCCGTGGGGCTCCTTGTTGTGCTGGTCACAGTGTTGGGGGATTGTGAAATGATTGAAAAAAAAACCCTAGAAAAGAGGCCCAGCCGAATGCATCTACAGTCGCAAACAGCAAAACACAAGCAGACGGTGGGAGCAAGCCAGTGCGTGAAATGTTATCTTGCTGTCTCTGTGGCTGCGGATGTCCACATCACACAGGTGGCTTTTTCCCTTCGAAAGCTAGGTGGGCATTAGGCTAAAACAGGTGAAAGAGATGTGCCCATGGGGGTGATCTTATTTACCCTAAAATTTATCCTAGAAGTAGAGTTTGTGGAAGAGCGCTGGAGTTTGTCCCATTCTCCGGCACAGACATCTGCTTGGGAAGGTGCATGTGGACACGGGCACAGATGCACATGTGCAGCCCCACATGTGCCTGTGCCTGCACACACATGAGTGTTTGCACACCACTTCCAGCTTTACTGCAGAATGCTGCTTTTAAGGAAAATAAGGTGTCAGGGTTAGTGGGAGCCTCTGGCTGGGGAGGCAGGTGACCACAGTGCCACCACAGTGAGATGGTACCAGGGAAACGCCTCCCAGGAGATTGCCTGCGAGAAGTTGAAGGGAGAGGTGATGGGCTGGGATCTGAAGCGTGCAGCAGGGGCCAAAACCCCTTCCCCATGGAAAAACTGAATCCATAGACCCCAGCTGAGTCAAGTGATGTAAAGAAGATGCTCTAGGGCAATGACGCAGTGAGGCAGCAGAGGAGGATTCACGCAGTTGTACCCCTGGGTATGTATCCCTGGGTCTTTGCCTCATGTGCAAAGACAAGGCAGCGTTGATGCAGCACGTGCTGGGGCAGCGGGTGTGCAAGGGCTGTACAAGCACCCTTAGATGTTCTGCAGGGAAGGCAAGAAAGTGGCAACCGAGTCAAGAAGAGCAAAAAGTTAGGAGAGCTCAGCCACCCTGGAGCAGAAAGGCATCAGTGACAGCAGAAAGTAGCCAGGCAAGACAGAAATGGCAGAGTGCAGCCAAGACGAGGGTTGAATGCTGGCCAGATGATTAGCTGAAGTCATTAGCCGGCGCAGACAGTGCTCCGGGCTTGTGCCGGCAGTGGAGCGTGCTGGGCTGCAATGCCGGGCTGAGCTCCAGCGAGGCTCACCTAGAGACACGTGCACCGGCTCTGTCCCTCCGTCCCCAGCCATTCCCAAGAAGCAGGAGCCAGCTACACTGCAGCAGCCCCATGGGCACCAAGAGCTGTTTCTGGGACTGCGTGGGTGCGAGAAGGGCTAGTGCAGTGGTTTCCAAGCTTCCTTGAAGCTTCAAGGTGTTTTTTAGTGCTGTCTCCACCAACGTTGCCCTCCTGAGGTCTGCTGTGGTCTTGAGAGCAGAGAGGAGGTGGAGAAGTGGCTGGCGGGCAATAGGGACTCCCACCCTTTCTGCCTCAAGGTATTTCCTGAGTCTTGGCTATCCCTTGGGACCCATCCTGTCCTAGATGTCTGCAGCCCAGAGCCTCCTCTCAACCCTTTCTTTGCCTACATATACTTCCCAAATGCCCTTCTTCCACTGTCCTCCTTTTCGCTGGCTGGAGATCCTTGGGCTCTGGGTGTCCTGATGCTGCCAGTCCTACTTCCACTTGTCCAGACCCCCAGGTCCTTCTACTTCCCTCCCATCCCACTGGGGATTGCAGACCTCCTCTAGGGCTGCAGCTCTCCGAGACACAGTGGAAGAGCATCTGCTCTCCTCTGAGGATGTCCTGTGGCGAGGCCAACGTGAGCTGTGTCCCAGAGCTGCACCAGACCGGGAACTCCACAGTCTCCTCTGCCCAGTGCCCAGTATCAGAGTAAGAGCCGACAGAGCAGTGAAGAAGAGCAGCCCCAGCCCCAAAGGATTTTGGTCCATCCCGTGTGCTTCTAGGTCTGTCCACAGGTGAGTTTGGTGTGCAGCCTCACTGAGCATCCTTCCTGCCAAGCTGCGTGGGAGATGTCAAGGAAATGGCTGATGGGCTGCTTTTTGCACAAGTTGCTGAGCTGTTCCCCAGCCATCCCTTCCTGAAGCCCCTGGAGCGGTTACGGAGAGGAGGAGCAGCGTGACAGCAGGGAGCCAGTGCTGGGGGCATCCCACCTGGCCACTGCCATCTCAGTGCCATCACAGCATGTCTGAGGACATTTGTAGGAAGAACCCAACTGGGAGACTGCACAGCCCAAAGATGATGCTGAGGGACACATGTGTTGCAGAGACCCCAGGAGATGGGTGCACACCTGGGGGGAGTCAAGCAGGACGCAGCTGAAGGGTCTTGGCTCTGCTGCCCATCACCTGTGGTGACCTCAACATCAATGACACTGAAGCCAATGAGCGTTAGGGACAGATGGGCTCTAACAGAGTGGGAACTGACATCTTCTGCATCCCTCTGAGCCAGATCCTCAGGATCATCTTTGCTGCCTATGGGCAAAGGCATAACTTGCTCTTTTTTTCCCCTTTTAAATCAGATTGACTGGTTTCCCTCAGCTAGAGGAGACCCAGTGCTGTGCTGAGCCCTGGGTCTGGTGGGCTGCTGGTCCTTGTGCTGCACCAGGACTGGAATGGCAATGAGAGTAATGCGGGAGGCTCCCTTGTGCCGGGAGTTGCAAGGGAAATTGAAACAACTGCAATGCCTGCCCAGTATTTCCCAATGAGGTGAATGCAGCCAGGCCAGATCCTGCCCTGGGGGCTAGCTGTGCCTGGAATTTGCTGAAATTCCCCCTTTGCCCTTTCCAGCTCTGTAGCTTGGAGGTGGAAAGCGAAGCACCACAAGGCACCCCAGGGACCACGCCGGAGCCCACAAGCTGACAGAGAGCAGCTGCCCTGGGGGCTCCCACAGCTGGTAGGTCTCCAGGAGGGTGACAGCATGGCTGGTCCTCCACGAGAAGAGCCCGGGGATAGAGGTGATGCTCACACAACCCATTTGCATTTTGATGGATTGGATTTCCCATGAGGATCCCCCACCGTGCATGGTTTCCACTTTAATTAACCACTGCATTATTGAGGCTTCTGCAGGGTGAGTGCTCAGAGATGCTTCGTGATGCCTGTGGTGCCTCAGGGCTGGAGCTCCAGCGCTCCCAAATTGCTTAAATGAGGCTTAAATGGGTCAGAACTCACGATGCTTTCCCATCTTCCCGAATTGCACCCGATCCCCTGCCCATTCCCTGCCTGTGTGTGCCTCTGAGGAGCCTGGACCCCAAAACATCCCCTCTTCCTCATCTGTGTCCTTTCTTCTGGTCCCCAAGGCTCAGCCCTGTGAGGGGGATGGGGTGACCTCCCTGCATGCCACAAGGATGCACTTGAGAGATGACCACTCTCTTCTTAGAAATCCCACTGACCCCAGTGGAGGGGGGGGAAACCCGTCACATTCCCCTTTCACAATGTGAGTGGAAAGCCCCTTTCCTCACCCTCCAGTGTCCCTGAAGAGGACTCAGTGTCCCTTCAGAGGTGACTGAAGCAGCCATGCTTTCACCCCCTTGGCATCCAGACAGCTGCCGGGAGGAGGCAGAGCCTCTCTTTCCTGCCCATGTGTCGGCAGGGACTGCAGGCAGTGGGAGGGCAGGGCCTTCCCTGTAGACAGAGGGGCAGAAGGGGTTTACCCCCACAAGGATGTATTCTCAACACTGGACTTGCTGCTTTCTGTGCGTGGCCAGCCAGGAGCCAGGAGCGGGTGGGAGCCCCTCGTGCTAGGAAAGTGGCAGGTGACCACACGGCTTGCCGCAGGGACCAGGACCCTAGAAGTGCCAGGAGAGGGAGTCTCACTGGACAAGACCCCCAGCACCTCCCAGCACCCCCCAGCACCCCTTGCCAGTCCTCGGGTGTGCTCTGGTAGTTGCCAAACCCACTGACAAGCATGGAGGTTTGTTGTTTTTTTTTTTCTCTCATATTCAGATCTAAAACACCGCATGCAAGGAGGCAAGGGTTTGCCATTGGGCATAATTCCCAGTATCCCTTGCCAGTGGGACAGGGCTCTGCTTTTGGGACCCCTTCTTTGCAGGGGGCTTTGCACTGTCCATCCACCCCCTGGGGAGGAGCTGGGTCTGGGTTAGGAGCAGTTGTTCCTACAGGCCTGGCGACCAGTAGCCAGGAGCTGTCATCCTCCCTGCGGTGGCATCTCTTTGGCAGCACCCCAGGGAGATCAAGTGGAGACCAAGTCCCGGAGTTAGCCTGCTTCCCCAGATCTGCAGGGAGGCTGGGGCTGATGACAGACACTAATCCTCTGCCACCTAAATTCCCCTTCCAGCAGCCAAGATTTGTCTTCAATACCTTGTGAGTGCTAGAAGAAGGCAGATGCTGACTGAAGTTAAGCTGGCACGTTCTGTTTGTGCCTCTTAACTTGCCCACTTGCCCTTGCTTAACCCCTTCAGCATTTTTGCCAGGCCACAGGAGCAGCTGAAGGCAATGCTTCTCTTATGGAGGAGATCACCTCATGCACGAGGCTGGTGCCAGTGCCAGTACAGGGATGGAGCACCTTGGCTGGTGGCATGACTGGACTTCCCTTTTGCTTCTTACTGTGGAACAGGTAAGGGGCAGAGCTCGCCATCTCCTACTGCTGAGAGGAGCAGAGGGTCCTGTCGAAGCCCGCAGATCCCAGCCCTGTGCCTTGTCCCCAGGTAGATATTTGTCCCAGTAGAAGTGCTGTGCAGCACCCTCTGATGAGGTGCAAGGACAGGCTGAAGCTGGAGGAAGGGTAGAGGGTGGAAGCATGGAGGTGCCCATGCAGCCAGCGAGTGCTGGCGCCCCGTGCTGTACACACAGCCTCCCTGGGGGATTTCTGTTCCTGTGCTGAGAAAACTTGTTTCCAGGAAGCTCTACAGCTATCTTTGGCCATGAGCCCATTTGCTGGGACACCTGGAAAACAGGTTGTCTTTTGGCATGCGAGATTGCAGCCCTGGAGTGGAGTGGGCGTGGCTCCCCTCCACCCACCAGCTTTGGATGTGCCCCCACACAAGCACTGGAGAGGGAAGGGAAACCAGCCAGGCTCCTGCGACCAGATCAGGGGACTCAGGGGGAGCCAGGCATCACATCAGTACCAATATATACCCCCAAAACAGGTCTGAGGCAAGTTTCAGCCCCAGCATCGGTCAGATGAACCTATGCGATATCTAATGGGAACGTCCCAGAGATGTCTCGGAGGAGGGACTGGGAAATGCATGAGGTGAGACCCACCACATGCTTGCCCAGGTCCCCGGGGTGCTTTTGCAGGGTGAAGGGACCCTGGAGCTGCCCTGGCCCTGACCAGCAGCCCCTGTGGCCCAGGTGCTGGCAGCAGCGAGGTCAGCAGGGTGTTTGGCTCCGGGACCGCTCAGCAGCTGGCTGCAGGGAAATCAGCTGGGATGTTCAGGAACTGTTTGCTGATTAAAATCAGTCTGTGGCAAAACTTGTTGCAACTCCTTTTCTCCAAAAGAAAGTGAAAGCCACAGGCTGGAAGGATAAATAGCAGGGAGCACCATCAGCAGAGCGCAGGGAAGCTGTGCAGAGCTCACCTCTCCAGCCCAGAGCACTGCTGTCTCCAGCCCATCCTCGGCCGAACTCAGCAGCGAAATGCAGCAGCTCCATCTTCTCTGCCTCAGTCTCCTGGTGCTGGGACGTATCCTGGATGGTAAGAGGGAACCTGTCAGGCCGCCTTTCTCGTGGAAGGGAAAGGATCCTGTTTCTTCCTTCCTTTTTCATTTCCAGCAGACTTTTAGAGGGACCCATCGCTGGGGCTCTGTTACAGACCTCCTGCGTCCCCTGCTTGTAGCCTGTCTCGGTGGGACTCCGTCATGCCCAAAGTCCAGGCAGGAGCCCGCCGGGCACTGGGGCTGGAAAGCTGCACTTGGGAAAGGCCGTGGAGCAATCCTGCCTCCCAGTGCTCTATCTCAGCTTGTGCACACGGTGCTGGGATCGCGTTGGTCCCATTCTCCCCAGCAAGCCAGGGGAGCATCCCTGGCATCCTTTGGCGTGAGACAGCCTGGGGGAGAGTGACAGGGGTGGGAGCAGGAGGAAAGGCATGGGCAGAGCCTGTGTTTGAGGGGCTGCTGGTGTTGGACACAGGTCACAGCTGCCTGGGGTGGGTGACACCAGGCCCTCTGCTCTGCTGTGGGGAGCTGGGGAGCGCGGGCAGCGTCTGGTGTTGCACTATACCTTGCTGCCTGGGGCTTCAGGCATCCCTGGACACTGCCAGCCTTGAGGGGCATTAAGAGTGACTATAGCATTTGCTTGGAGTGTGACCGAGGTCCCCTACCCCGCAGTGAAGTGCAGACAGCTGTGTCCCTCAGCTGTCACAGGACTGACCAGTGTGGTGTAGGCTGGCAATGGGGTAGCTGGAAAACCAATGATTCCTTCAGCAAATAAAGCTGAAGGCATTCCCAGCCCCTCTGGAATGTGTGGCTGATTTGAAAGATCCTAAAGCTGGGATCTTGGTGGGTGCTTTGCAAGCCCTGCCCATGAAGACACATACTGCTTTCCCTGCTGCCGGTGCTGGCTCTGGGGATGCAGGAGGGACCAGGCATGCAGAAGGGTTGCCCTCCGCCGGGAAGCTGCTTCTCACCTCCTTCGCTTCCTGTTGGAAGGAGGCAAAGGGCTCCTGGCACCGGGGTGTGGGGGCAATAGAGCATCTGCCCGCTTGTGCAGCTGGGACGGTGTGAGAGAGCATCGTTGGTGGGCACCATCCTGCTCTGCTCTGATGGCCCCTGCACCCTCTGGGAAGGCTGAATGAAAGTGCAGCTGACCTGGGAAAAGCAACCTCAGCCTGTGTTCCTCCTCCAGTGCACGGCGGGAACAACGTCCTCGACTGCTGCTTGCGGACACGCGAGACACCCATCCCGCGGTGGATAGTGCAGGATTACCGGCTTCAGCTGGTGCAGGATGGCTGTGACATCCCGGCTACTGTGTAAGAGCCCCAGGGTGGTGATGGCTAAGGGACAAGAGCCTCAGGGTGGTGATAGCCAAGGGATGGATCCTGTGAGGAGGCAGAGAGGGAGGCAGGGCAGGTTGGAGGAGGAATGTTGAGCTGGGTTTGGGGGAAAAGTAATGGGGGGGGGGGGTTGTGGAAGAAACCTTGGAGATCGGAGTCTCAACCAGAGCAGGAAAACCTGGGACAAAAGTCAGGGAAGAAAGTCATCCCAAGGTGGAGATGGAGGAGGGCAGGGAGAGAGGCAGTGAGCGAGAGCTTGAGCTGTGCTTGGGCACCCCCAGGGTGTCCTGCTCACCTCATCTTGTTTTTTTTCACCATGGGACTGGCAGGTTCATCACCACAAAGGGCAAGCGCCTCTGTGCCCCCCTTCAAGCCCCATGGGTGGTTCGCCTCCAGGAGAAGCTGGATGCCAGTTCTGTCAGGAAGGTAAGAGCCATCCCTGTTCTCAGCCAGGAATGGGGGCAGCCCCGAGGTGGGTTTAACCACCACCAAACAGGCTTTTCCCAGTGTGACTGGACTGCTGGGAAGAGCTGGGACATGCTTTGCTGAGGCATAGATATTTTGTCTTGGTCTTCATCCCTCCTCCCTCCAACTGGAACCAGTCTGGCTCCTCCACAATCCCTCTTCCACGTGGTCCACCAGTGCCACTCTGGTCTGAGACCGACTGGTCCCACAGCAAATGGCACCGGGAGCAAAGCCTTCCCCAGTTCTGCCCTGGAAGCCTGGAATTCACAACTTGTGCATCTTCATGGGCAGGACTTGCGATGAGTTTGGTGGGTGCTTTACAAGCCCTGCCAGGTCCCCACTTCACCACCATGGCTTGGCCATAAGGAAGGGACTCTGGGGAGGCTCCTGCCCCGATGATCACACTTGTCACATCTGGGTTTTTCACTTCCCCAGGCCAAACCCCAGGGCAAATAGTCTCCGAAGAAGCCCATGGCCAGCCCCAGCACTTGGAGCGGGGCTGGCTCCCAGGTATGAATCTGAAGCCAATGGAGCCAACCTGCTACCATCTCCAGCCGCAGAGCCAACCCTCCTTGTGACTCGTGCCAGTGCGCTGGGCTGGGCAGAGCCCTGCCTGCTCTCTCTTCTTTCCTCTGCCTCTGGTGTGACCCAGCAACCTGCATCAGGCTAAGCTGGGGGCTACTGGACTCTGCCGCCTTTGCAGCCTGGAAGCTAGTTGATGGACTGTTCTGTGAGATGAGTTTGGGAGGTCTCGGCCTTCCCTTCAGTGCAGCAGCTGTGACCTCCAGTCTGATCCCTTTGGTTTCCACTGTCAGTCCCAAGCCTGCGTTCTTCTGCATCCCTAGGAAGGGCGGCCAGGACAAGACAGTGTGGGGATGAAGGGGAAGGATGGAGATGTTCCTCACCGGCCATGCACTGTGCTGCTCACCTGCTGAGCACAGCCTAGATGCCCTCACACAGCGTGCAGCCGATGCGGTTCCTCTCTCACACCCTGACTTCCCTATACCATCTCCCCTCCTGCCCTTCCGTGCATGGATAGAAACAGAGCCAGTAACGCGGCGGCAGCAGAGCGGGCAGCGATGTTGCCCTCAGCCCCTGCCCTCCTCAGGGACATTGCCCCCCTTCTCGGTCCACGAGTCTGTCCCACCACGTTCAAACCCTGCTCCATGCTGCTGCCTGGGCAGGGACGGGCTCGCAGCGCTCGGGCCGCGCTCAGGTATTTGCTGCTAGATCTGTTTGATGCAATGATTACGGGTGTAAGTTGCTTCTTTTCTCTTTTTTATTGTGCTGTGATTTTGTTCAATAAAAAGTCAAGCCAGCAGGTGTTTTGTCTGCTTCATGTTTGAGCCCCGATGCCAGCACGGAATGTGGGGTGGAACGTGGAGCGGAATGTGGGGCACACAGCCAGCGCTGCCAGCAGTCCCGCAGCGGCAAGGGGGCTGTGCTGGGGTGCAAGGTCGGGGAAAGGGGCTTTCGTAGGGGTGAAGGGCACATCGTACAGCAGCTGGGCTGCGTGTCTCTCCTGGGAGTCTCTCAGCACCACGGCGAGGCGGGCGCCCTGCTCTGCTGTGCTTGGCCATGCTGCCGGCGTGGATTCCAGCGGGTGGTATTGCAGGCATGGGATGGGAGGGAGGATGCCAGAATTGCACTATCCAGCCCAAACCACTTCAGTCCCACCAGCACAGCTGCCAGGCTGGAGCTCCCTGGCTCTCAGCTCCCACAGGAGCGTGGGACACAGCTGAAGAGCTGCAGGAACAGGAGCTTTGTCCTTGCAGTGAAGGGAAACTGAGGCACAGTGTGGCTGATCGGTTCTGTGGGTTGCCCCGACAGTTCGGTGTTTGCTAGCAGCTGTGCTGCAGGTGAGGAGAAAGAGCTTTTGGGGAAATGGAGGCAGGTGAAGACACCTGCTCTTGGGCACATCTGTGGATAAGGCACAGAGGGCAGCCCACCAGCTCCCGCCCCCATCACCAATGAGCTGGAAGTCCTTGGCCATTTTCCTGTTGAGCCTTGGGTCTCCTGGGTCTGTGCACTGAGAGTATGGTCTTGCTGACCCAAAGTGGCCTTACATTCCCTTGGGAACTGTCCTTTTGCCCGGGTCATGCGATGTTTGAACAAAGCTGCTCTGTTCAGCTGAAGCATGGACTGAACATGCACGAGTGGGATTTGCATGGCCAACAGTCAGGTACCATACTCTCCTCTCAGACGTGACTGTCCGCATGGTTAAATTATTTACACTGTCCCTGGTGAGGTTTTGGTGCCAGCCAGCAACCCTGGGCACAAGCTGTGAGTGAGATGGCTCAGGGACCATTCCTGAAGGCAGAGGAGGTGGCGTGGCCACCAGCCCCTCCAGGGGATGGCATCCATGGTGGTACAGTGGCCAGGCTGACCAAGCCAGGGGACGTCCGGGCACTTGATGGTTTTTGCTGAGACCTGTTGAATGCAAGCTTAGCCCTGACCCTTTCCTCCCCTGGTCTGCTGGGTCCCTTGGCTGGTGGCCGATATTTTCAGATTTTCCTTCTTCTGGGGTCCTCCTCCCTGGTATCTGTGTACACGCAATGCCCTGGGCTCGTCTGTCTCTTGGCATGACTTTTCCAGAGCACCAGCTCTGTCCCAGCTCATTAACTATAGTGACAGGCCCAGCAATACAATCCCGAGGAGGAGGAGGCAGAGGAGGAAGGCTGGTATGGGAAGAGGCCAAGACAAACAGTGTGAGTGGGAAAGGAGGATAACCAGAGCTTGCTTGGGCAGAAGCCTTCATGCCGCTTGCTCGGTGACCCATGAGAGCCCGTGGCTGGGGAGGAGGAGGAGGATGCTCTGCGTAGATCTGCACCGAGGCCGAGCTGCTGCTGCTGGTGCGAGTCCCTGCGCAGGACAAGGGCTGCAGGAGGGGCTTCACCTGAGCTGCACTAGGTTCATCCTTGGCTGGAGGCTACCTTGACAAAAAGCACGATTTCCTGACCCAGTTCCTTGGAAAGCTGAGGGAGAAGGGGCTTGGACCAATGTCTTGGATGTTGGAAGTAGGCTTATCTACCTCCATCAGGGTTTGAGGGACTACTTGGCCAAGCTGCCCGTAAGAGCATGGTTGCAAAGTTTGTGGCTCTCATTTCTTCTGGGAGCAGTAAACGTACCCTCCTCAGAGAAATGCAACCCTTCATCACAGATCTCTGCCAGGTCCTTGTCTTTTGTGGCTCTCAAGGGGGTGGTGGGCCAGGTCCTAGCTCTGGCAGCAGGCTGCCCTTACCCCTGGCAGGTAAGGACAGGAGGAGATGCTTTCCTGGACCAGGTATGTGGTCCTGGCTGGTTGTCCCTCTTCCAGCTCTTTAGCAGCTGTCCCTATTCCAGACCCCGACTTTTGGAAATCTGTCAAAAACCAACAGGGCTCAGTACTTTGTGAACTACAGAGTGAGTTTTTCTGACACAAAATGTCAACAATCTCTTTAGAGGGAAGCAGCCACTTTCCTTAGAGAAGGCAGCTAATCACTGCTGTGTCAAAAACCTTCTGTCCCAGCCAAGAGCTAGTTTCTGGAAAACATGTTTCAAGTCCTCCTGTTTCTCTCTCCTCAGTTGTGTTTTTCCTGCTCGTTTCCTGCCCTCTCTGCATCCTCAAGAGCTGGTGGGGCAGGATCAGGAGCTGCTGTAGCATGATGCAGTAGGTCTGGGGCTACATGCAGGGATTGCTTTGGTATGAGGTATCCTGGAGCACCAGTGGGATGATGGCCCCACATGGACAGAGGTCTTGTGGTCCTTTGCCCATGCCTTCACATGTTACAGAATAATCCTAGGGAGTTGAAACAACTGAGCACACTTTGGGTTGTTCTCTGGCTGCCAGGTCTCATAACTGGGATCATGAGGGCACTCCTGTCTCTCCCAGGCACAGTGAAAGCTGTCTCGGATGCTTCCCAGGCTGCATTCAAGGGGCACAAGACACAGTAGGCACAATCTGCTGCAGTCTCAGGGTTTGACCTGCCATGGACATTCCCAGTCAGAAGGTAGGGTTGGAGGTTCATCGCAAAAACACCTGCCTGCTTCTCTGCAGCAACAGCTGGCACCAAAGGGAGACGCTATGCTGGTCTCACTTGGTGCCATAATACCCCTTCCAGGGGCTTTTTTGGAACTAGTTTTGTCTCTTGCCTCCAAAGAGACGGTGTACAGGGGCTTCTTCTGTCACCAGCATCCCCCAAGTGTTGCATGTGTTGCCCCTGCAGTGACTGGGGAGGAACCATCTGCACTCTGCCCACATGCACACGCAGGAGAGGTGAGCAGCACCACGGTGGCTGAACACCGTTCCCCCTCTGCAGCCCTCGCATGGCCAGTTCACGTCCCCCCTGGTGCAGAGGAGTCCATCTGAGCGGTGAACAGGCACATTTGCCAGTGCAAGGGCCGGTTGTCCCCCGTACTGGTGGTCTCCTCTGCATGGTGCTGAGGCAAGGGGCTGCTCTCCATGGGCACAGCTCCCTTGGCACCAGTGCCGGACCCAACTGGCAGGGGCTCAGGGACCTGCCCAGGTTTTTGTGAGGAGATGGGACATGCGGATGGTTGGGAAGGGTGGGAAGCCAGGTGAGGAAAAGTCCTTTTAGTCTCATCCTGTTGTGCTGTTTGCTCTTGCCTAAATAGTAATGTGTGTGGGTGATGGAGAGGATCCAGGCTTGGCATCTCTCCTCCTCAGGCCCCTGCTTGCTCCCCTCTCATTCCCAGTATGTCATCACCTGTGCTGCTTGTCTGGACATTTTCTGCTGAGATTTGTCCTGTGAGAAGACGCCAGCACCCTTTGCCAGGCTCTGGGTCTCCAAGCAGCAGCTGGTGCCATCCCTGTCACCCTCCTCCTGCAGCTGGACTCTCCCTGGTGGTATCGCCCAGCCTGCACCTCCACGGTATGGCTTCTTGGGACTGATCCCCAGGACTGGATCATGGGACCAGAGTGCTTTTCCTGCTCTGGGTCCTTGGAGTCAGAAGTTGTCTGA